TGTTTTTCGTGGATGGTTTTCAACAGTTTTAAACTTTCGTGGAGATCAAGCTATGTGATTGATAAACATCCGGGACAGGTTATATGTAAGATGGTGACCGCATTGTGTCTGAGTGCATAGATACTGTTCTCTTGCATGAATACAGTACATGATATTAATGGTCAAGTTGTGGGCTTCTAACAAAATTCAGTACATACTGTGTAAGTATTCAATCTTAGACATACCCGATGTCTTCACTAGTTGATTTTTTAATACCTTTACTAAATGTAATTGGCATTAAAGTTCCTCATCATGTCTTAAGAAAAATCTCTGAGTCACCATGTTAAGTTAAAAAAAGACTGTCCTGTATTTAAAATGACCTGAGATGAATAACAGCTCTCAGTATTAAAGTCAATTAGGGATTCTAAATAGTAATTAAGATATTAATGAGAAATCAAATTGCCAGACTTTATATCACACTAGTGGTATGTCTTAATTAAGTGCTGTAATTAAAATGTTAAGGCGGATAATTGCCACAAAATTAGAACACAAATATAATGTCATTTTCGGATGAAGGGAAAAATGATTTAGATTTAACTTTACAAGAGCGGAGGATTTCGAGCGTTTTGTCGGCAGCTGTAATGAAAGCATTTACTGTGTCGAGGCTGGGATCCTTTGTAATGGCCACATCATTAAAACAGTCTCCTTTACAAACATTCACGGACGTGACCGTGAACAAGGCAACAGGGATGTAGATAAATCAGCACGGGTCGGCCACGCAGGAATGGGAACCTTGCGCCGCAACAAACGTCTGTCCATATTACCTCAACTTTGCGTCAGCATAAAGGTCAAGCTGTCGACGGCCAAGGTGACCCCGCGGGCTGCCTGGATGCTGAGGTGGCTGTTCCTCTGCGCGCGTCACTAAAGCGCTCTCTCTCCTCTCCTTGTGTGTGACCATGCTCTCTGTCCCCTCCTAAAGCTTCCCGACCTTCAGCCGCAGAACCCGAGACCCCCCCCTCCACGCATGTGTCGGCCCTTGACGGACAGGTGGGGGAACCTGAGAGCCAGGCCTGTTTAGATGTTTAATGGAATGATGCACAGCTAGTGGCTAATCGCACACAGGCGTCGGCAACCTCACCGGAAACCCTGACCTTCCGGGCCTCTCTGATCTAGCTGCATTCGGTCCAGGTCCAGCAGGTCCTGCATGCTGAGATTGGAGTGGAGGGTTCGAGAGCAGCTGTGCTCTATCGATTGTTTGGAGGAATATTTCAAACCCTAAATAAATACAACTGCAGAAACATCCAGCGCTGTCCCTGCGTCACTCTGCTTCAGCATAAAGATGGCCTGATTTCATGAAAAACCTAGGAATTAAGTTTTAATTTTGGACTCAGGTATGTCTGACAAGCTATCAATGATCCCTGAGCAAAATGTCGCAACAAAATCGAAGCAGATGGGAATTCAAATGTCTTATTAAAAAAATGAAATAATTGCACTGATATAGTAAAACTGCATATTTGGAGACACGCTGAGGGAGCTACCATTCTCAGAGGGGACTTTGGTGTCATGATGGCCAGAGGACATCACAGTGATGGAGTCTTAGGATGTTAAAGCAGAATGACAACAAGGTCCACCACATGGATAAAGCTATAGGTACATCCAAAATTGAATACTTGTTTATTATATAGCAGGCGAAATGTAGTATGGAAGGTGAGCAGTATGTCTGAATCATCAGTATCGATAGAATAGATAGTGGTAATGAAAATACCATGGATAGAGAAATTGGAACCTAAGCTGCCTGAGATGGTTCTAAGTCCCATTTACCCTGTAGACAGACAGACAGACAGACAATGCATTTTCTGTTGTATCTACCTATTTCCTTCCAAAAATAAATTGAAATCAAGTTTCTGGCATTTTTAATCACACAACAGAAGTCAAAAGCATTTCTTACTATGGGCCACAGTAGGATGTCAGATAGGCTGTGCACTGCCTTGCTGGAAGGCACTCCAACTACTCTCTGTAACACCAGGGAAGTAATTAGTTTCAGAAACATAAAAAAAAACATGCCCAACAAAACGTTGTTATTATGCTATCAAGAGAAACTTTTTTTTTTTCCCAGTGGAAATGCAAACGATTGACCAAACTTATTCAGGCGCACACAAATGTGGGGGAAAAAAAGAAGACGATATTACTGTGTTTATGTATTATGTTTATACATGAAAGGTTATGAGACAAGTTAGACTTCAAATGGCGTGGCGCAAATGGATTCATCGGCGGCCTACTGATGGAGCTTTTTCCAGTGGACTGCAGAGAGACGCTGTAATTAAGGTTGTTATTTTAATACATGGTTGAGACCACCTGATAATGAGCCGCACTGGCAACAGCCACATGTACAGCTCCAAAACTGGGGGGGGGGGGGACGCCATTAATATGCGCCTCTCGCTGGACACTCAGCACTGGCCACACCTTTCATCTAATGGAGATGTAATTTTGTCACCAGTCCCTGGGGACCGGGATTAAATATGGCGAGAGGGGTCCGGTCATGCCCGCGACCCCGACGGACATGGCCCACATTTTATGCCGCGAGATGCAGACCTGAGCGCCGGTCCGTCCGTGTGGAGCATCATTAGTGCCCATAAGACAAAAGTTTAGGTGTTACTGCCAATTAGCATTCCACTGGCTTTATCCCAAATTCCCCACCTGATTCTCACTTCCAGGGAAAAGAACAAGACTCCAGTAACAAAGGTCTGGGAGCCAGAACTCGGTATGGAGAAAGGCGACAATGAGCGGAGGGGGGAGGAAAATGGTTAAAGCATTCATTTAGGGCAGAGAGACAGGTCCCATTAACATTTAAGAGCATTTGCACAACTTGGTTTGCGAGGTTATGATGCAAATGAGGGAGAATTAAAGTGGTCGGGGGGTTTGTCATTGATGGATTGCGGTCTGCAGCTTGCACACTTCCCAGTGTCCATCAGAGGAGATTACTGTGTAATTAAACCTTATTTCTGGACTCTTCAGTACATAATTACTTTGTGAATGCAACCATCATCTAAAAGCAATCAGAATGGTTTAGCATTTAGCGCAGTGGTGATTTTCCGAGCTTGTGTCAGATACAGGCAATGTGCGGGGAAAAAAAAACTGGAAAAAAAATTACAAGAGGAGGGAGAGAGAGAATGGGAGAAAAAGAGCATGAAAACTTAGTATGCTTATTAAAGGAAAAATTAGGCTTTTAATTGATAGGACAATTTGCATAATTTGTTCTATTTATTCTGCTGTTGCGAGCTTTGGGCTATTTTCCTCTCATGTAAATAAATGACACATTTAAGGCCACTTAAAATGATCACTGGGAGTATTTAAATTTATAGTGAAGAAAGGGAAAGTGACAGAGGTCTGTGTCTCGTCCTCGCGAGCCGCCCGATCCGGCCAGACCACTGCTGTGGTACCACAGATAAGCCCTGGGTTCATGCAGATCCTCTCAGCTTCATCGAAATGCAAATCGGCTTCAGAGGAACAAGTGTGTCTCTGATATTTACAAAATTGCCTCTAAAAAAACCGCCAGAGTGCTTTTATATCCTTTATTTCCCTTTGGCGAGAAGAAAACCTAAAGAAAAAGAAAATATAGAGATTATATCAATAAATAGTGTGTAAGAGGCTACGTAAGAATCCTCTTATGTTGAAGTGTTCACTTCAGTTGAATGTACACAATCATTACAGCAATCATCATGCTAGGATGCCCCAAAACCCAGGAAGACGACAGGCCATTGTGGAGGAATGTCGTCTATATGCTGCGCAGGAGACGACATTAGCTTCACAGCACCCGAATAGCAACAACAGTACTTACCCACCTACGCTATTGCACTCGTTTGCATCGTGAATATTATCCCTCTTTCAATAACCACACCTGGCAAATATGCCTTCCTAGAGAACGCTGTAAAAATGTTGACCAATACGGTCGATCATCTTAACATATTTCAATCAATATTTAGCCAATGAAAAATGTATTTTTGAGCACAGGATGATATTCTGTATATATTAAGGATGTGTGAATGAATTTCATATGTATATATATATATATATATATATATATATATA